CCCCCCCCCGCCCTGCCCCCGCCCACAACATGCCCCGAGGGAGGGGAGTCTGAAGGCAATAAACCTCATTCTAAGAAAAGCTCATCTTCGTGCAAGTTTCTGTTTTGAAAATGTATCAAGAAACAGAAATGTTTCCTACTAGCCAATAATACACACTTGGCCTTGCTTTTTGCTTAAAAAAATTCTTCAAACTCTTCCTAATTTAAGCACTCAGCGCAAATTTATTTAAAATTTATTCATTTTAACACGAGTAGAGAATTTTCAATGTGCCTTTTTTTGGTGAGGGCTGGAGGAGGTTGACATATTCTGTTCAAATTTAAAGTGAACCATTATAACCAAAATAATGCAAATGAAAATCAGATTTTACTAATTATAAAAAAAGAGAGAAAGACTTTCAGAGTAGATTTTGTGTGTTTAAGCCATTTACAAAGGCATCATCTGATAAAAAAAGAGGCGTTTAAAATGTCCTTTATCACCATGAAAACAACACACAAAATATTGATTTGGCCCGTTTCCGCTGTGTTGGGAAAGAAAAAATGTTTCCAGAAAGCGTCCTCTCGGCTTTCATCGTCAGCCGGGCAGAGGGGGTGGAGCCCCAGGCCTGCCTCAGGCCCTGTGACCTGAGTCTGCTCCCCAAGGGCCACACCTCTGCGCAGGGGCACCAAGGGCGGCCTCGTGGCCTCCACCTGTCACACGCCGGCCGCGCGAGCGCGAGCGCAGCAGCCCAGGACCTTGGCCAGGCCAGGCGGGGGTGTGGGATGCCTTGCTCGCTGCCTTTCTTTGTTCGCTCCCCGTGACGCAGCCAAGGCTTTTGGGGGGGAGGCGATTCAGCCTTTTCACCTTTAGGTGGTGCTTCCGGACCACGTAAGGCAGCCCAGAAAGGTTTCTGTCTTGTATCAGCTCTTCGTGTTCATTTTTCTGTTGCTGCTCAAGACTTTAAGGCTTTTTTAAACTCCTAGATTATATGCCGATTTTCTAGCTTTAAGAAATCTCAGCACTCAAAAATACAATTTTCTGAAGTCGGTGAATGAGGGAGTGATGATTCACCTAACAAAAGGGGTCTTTGCTTCCCAAGCGAGCCAGCTCCAGGACCCCTGATAATGGGGCGGTGTAAAATCGATTTACCAAAACTCGATTTGCATCTACCCATCTAAGAGCACATCTTTTCCATGAAAGGAGGCCCGTGTGGGATAATCAAAGTCCCCCGTGGATAAAATCAGACAGGAGCATGTGCCGCACAGCTTGGGTTTTGAAATGGCAGGAGAGATTGACTGGGTTTCCATGGAAACTCCCCAGAAGGCAGGCACGGGTTCTCTGCGCTGGAGTAGTCGGCCGCCCTCCCTGCTCCCTGGCAGTTCCCGGGGACAATGGCACCGAGTCTATTTTAGGTTCCTGTACTTGGAGATGCAAAAAAGTTCTGTGACATAAAACACTTGCTTCACACATCGCTTCTCTTTCAGTCCAAGGGACTTTTGGTGGCGATAGTCTGAGCAAGCACGGGTGCGGAGATAATCTGAGAGATCTCCTTGCCGCCCGGGGTGGGGTGGGGTGGGGGTGGGGGATGTTCGAGACAAAAACGTTTGTGCCTTATCTGTGATCTTGCATTTGCCTCGGGGTCTCAGTGATACCAGGAGAAAATGATTTGGGGTTACTGCACGTTATCATCTGGCTGGAAAAATTGGTCCGAAAAAGACATTTAGAAATGGCAATGGGGCGGGGCCCCCGGGGTGGCTCAGTCGGTTAGGCCCGACTCTTGATTTTGGCTCAGGTCATGATCTTACAGTTTGTGAGTTTGAGCCCCGCGTCTGACAGTGTGGAGCCTGCTTGGGAGTCTCTCTCTCCCTCTCTCTCTGCTCCTCCCCCCACTAGTGCTATTTCTCTCTCAAAATAAAGAAATAAACATTAAAAAAAAGAATGGCGATGGGAACATCATGCTAACATGTTTTAAAAGGTGTTTAGGTTTTGCAGAATCCAAGTATAATCTGGAAAAACATCAGGACCACTCACAAACTCCTGGACTTCTGACTTCATGGACCCGCTCCTTCTCAGGTGGGAGCCGTGTGGGTTTCTGTTGCTTTTGCAGATCTAAGACGGCAAAGAGACCTGCGAGCCCGAACCTCCCAGAATGCCCTGTGCTCATGGCTGCACTGAGCTATGTACACCAAAACAAACATTCTGTTTGGATCTACACAGGAACTATCACTGATCACAGCCACAATGGGGGTCATAGGATGTATGCCCTAATGTCAAAGCACAACTTAATGTCTCTCCATTAAAACACATAATCCTGGACACCATAAGACTTTTCACTGGCACACGTCCCAGGAATGTCACAGCCTCGTGTCTGCCCTGATCTGTCCCTCCGCGAGACATACACCTGTTACAGTGTTGTCTTCCCGCCCATCTAAAACCCCTGTCCTGAGACCGGGTGGGAGCAATGGAACTCATCAAACCCACGACTGAAGTGTCATCGATTCGTTATTGGTAAGAACATCTTTAAAGTGCCTCCTCCAAGGTGCTATTGTGCCCCTCTCTTTTGAAAATAAATATGAGGATTTGGCAAAGAGTTCTATTAAGAAAGACATCTAAAATAGGGCGTTTTCTTGCAGTTAAACGGATGCCTGCATCAGAGTGCATGTTACTACACGTTGTGATCTGAGACTGGTGAACCGCTGTGGCTTCTGCCCCCCTGGCGACACGTCAGTGAGGTGCAGGGCGGATTCCATGCACACGAGCATTTCTTCCTGGGGACCCCAAGGTGCCCAGGCGCCCTTGCCGGGTAGCAGGTGGCTAAGCCCCTGACCCCACAGGGCCAGCCCCTCGCCGTCTACCTGGGGGGTGACGCCGCCCCGAGCGGTAACACACCCTGGGTGCGGCGGCCTCTGTGACCTTGTGCCCAGCGTCCCCCCTCGCTGTGCTGGCAGAAAGACCCAGCTCGTCTCCTGCGAATCAGCTTACAGCAAAAAAATATCTGAAGGTGTCTCAGGCTCTCTCATCCTGGTAAAAGTCAATCACTTATTTTTAAAAACCTTCTACATAGAGGCAGAAAGAACCGTGGGTGTCTCCGGGCTGCACCGGGAGAGTCTGTGGTTGACCCGCCTCCGTGAACTGCCCTGCGAGGCTGAGGACAGTAGCTAGAAATCCACAGAAACAGACCCTGAGGATCCAGGGTGATCATACAAAATGGTCCAAGGGGTGCACTGGAGTTCTGGGAGGATTTCGTGGAAAGGCCCTCGGCCACGTTTCTTGCTCATTTCTTTCGTGGCAACTCTATCAAGGGAACGTAATTAAGTAAAATGCCA